TCTCATGGAAACGAAAAGATGTAAGAATGGGTTAGTAGATATTCAGGCATGGTTGGGTTATGATAAGGTATACATGGTGGAGCCTGTAGGATGGAGTGGAGGTTTAGCTGTTTTTTATTGAAAAATAATGTAATAGTGGAGGTGAAGTTTGCAGACAAAAACCTCATCGACTGCTCTGTACAGTTTGGAGCTTTTGAGTTTTTTTGTCTCCTTTGTCTATGGAGACCCTGAAGTTAAAGGTCGGAATCATGTGTGGGAGACACTTATGCGAATAGGGTCTCAGCGTAAGGAGGCTTGGTGTATGAATGGAGACTTTAACGAAATCTTGCAGAATGGAGAGAAATTGGATGGCCCCAAACGGAGGGATAGCTCTTTTCAAGACTTTGTAGAGATGCTGCAGACGTGTGAAATGGATGTGCTGCTAAGTGCTGGTGATGGTTTTACCTGGTCTGGAGTTAGACACAAGCATTGGATACAGAGCTAACTTGATTGTTGCTTTGGTAACAAGGCCTGGAGGCAAGAGTTCCCTCAGGCCAATCAGGTTAGCTCCAGATTTGATAGAAGATTCATCGGTAAATCAATGGTGAAAGAGGCAATCCGATCAGCATGGCTGGGAACTCATCAGGTAGTGCCTCTGAGCTTAATGGAGATACTTGGAAAATGTCGTAAATCCCTAAGCAAGTGAAAACGTGAAAACAAAAGCTACTCCATGGACCGTATATTGAAGCTTCGACATGATTTGGAGGTCGAGGACTCTTCTCTCTATCCCCGGGTCGAGTACATGAAGGATCTAAAGTTGGTGATAGCAAAGGCATAACAGGAGGAGGAGTTTTTTTGGAAACAGAAAAGTAGGAATAGATGGCTGAGAGGTAGTGATCGTAATACAAAGTTTTTCCACGCCTTGGTAAAAACCCAGAGAATGAGGAACCAGATCGATTTTCTGATAGATGAGAATGGTTGTAAAGTCACTTATGTTGGCTCTATGGGGGAAGTAGTGAGCAACTACTTTAGAGCTTATTCAAAACATTGAGGAATGGGGACCTTGGAGACTTCTTTCAAGATTTTCAACCTCGTGTAACTACTGAAATGAATGAAGTGATGATGAAGGAGGTTACAGCGAGGGATGTGAAAGAAGCAGCTTTCTCAATTAATCCATCGAGTGCCCCAGGTGTGGATGGCATGAATGGTATGTTCTTTCAGCAATATTGGGACATACTTGGACAACAAGTAACATCTGAGGTGCAGAAGTTTTTTGAAACAGAGGAATTTCCCAAGGAATGGAACTATACACAAATCTGTCTGATCCTGAAAGTTCTGAAGCCAACTATGATGACAGATTTGAGACCGATCAGCCCATGCTCGGTTATCTATAAGATCGTATCAAAAATTCTGGTGAAAAGAATACAACCATGGCTACAAGATATTGTATCGCCAACACAATCTGCCTTCGTCTCTGATCGGTTGATATCAGACAACTTCATAATTTCTCATGACTCTGTCCATGCTCTGCGAACACACCCTCAAATTTCTTGTGAAGATATGGCCATTAAGACAGACATGTCCAAGGCATATGATGATGAGGCCATTCAAGCTGAACCAGACTTAACCGAGCCACAACTATAAGATGTGGAAGTACCAATTGTTCCTGAAGGCCCCATGACAAGACAAAGAGCTAAGATTCTCCAACACAAAAGTATAACCAGAGCATGATGCGAGCAATGTCACAAGTGGATCAAGTGAAGCCGCAAGAAGACCAAGAAGTGGCCCAGCTTGGACTGGATTACTTGAAGAATGCCAAGAGCTAGTAAACGGCCCAGCTTCAAATAATCAAGATGCCTGGCCCTTTTTTCCAAATCAAGCCCAAGTCTTCATGATGACCATCTCGCCAATGCACCAAGATACTTAGGAGGGAGGATTCAAACTCAGTCAAAGCCACACATGTCTCGGCCAGCAAATAAGGTAAGTGATCAATCGAGTTTAAATCCTTTGACTAACGAGTTTGATTGTCTTTGGTCTTATGCAGAGACAATTTAGTTTAGTAGTCTTTTATTTCTTTTTTTGAGTCTTTTAATGTAGCATTTTAATTTACAAGTCCTGTTGTTTTGAGTCTCTACTTTTAAAAGTCTTGTTGTTTTGAGTCTTTTAGTTTTTTGAGTTTAAGCTGCTAGGACCATTATATAAGGTCTCATTACAGCCTTGTAATTTTTCACCTTTCATATCAATAAAAATCAATCTTTCTTCAAATCAGTTTTCTTTGAGAGAAATTTGTTTAACCTTTTGCTCTAGTTGAGACCAGTACCTCCTAGATCAAAGTTCTCGTGTTTTATCACAAGTCTTACACAACTTGTGTAGTACACATCGATCCACCTTGTCACTTAGCCACTACATCGATTCACTTGTCTAGAGTTGCTCATTCATTTGAATGAACCCTTGGCCATCGAACTAAAGCTTTGCTTCTGATTCTATATAAGTCCTTGACAGCTTGGTGCTTGTATCATTTTTGGTATCAGAGCTGAAGTTCCTTCAGCCCAGGTTTTATCTATCCATTTACATCTTCTCATTTATCTTTAGTCATTCGTTTCATTGCATTAGATAAATACTTATAGTTTGATTTATAAATCATCATCATCTCGTTTGTGATAACACCGTATTTTGACCACTTTTATGGATCGTTTTGAAAAACTTTTTCTATGTTTTTAATTGCTTTTAAGTACTTTTATAACGTTTTTCTAGTTTTTGTAGTTCCAAGACTCTTTTCAGGTAACTTAGGGAAAAGCTTAACAAAATGGATAGAAAACCAGATTTCAGCTCAGAGTCAAACCGTCAGATAGTTCACCCCCGATTGAAGGCCTTCTCACCGTCTGATCCAGCTCAAATTTGGAGATCTTAAAGATGGAAGTATCAGCTTTCCAGCACACTTTACAGCTTGGCAATCCAACAGTTCAATCAAAAGATACGCGAAGAGCAAGATGTCCCGTAAACCAGCTGGCAAGCGTTTTCACCCGCGGCCAACAAGCCATTCTCCGCGGTCACAACCACCGCGACCGCGGCCAGTCACCCATTCCCCGTGGTCACACTCATCCCGACCACAGCCAGCTAACTCCGACTCCGAAGGCCCATTTCTAAAGCCCATATCATTTTCCCAGCCTTGATTCCGAAACCCTAAACCCTAGAGATGTCTTGAGCACTATAAATACATGTTTTAGGAACCCTAATTCGTATGACCTCATATGCTCTTATTGTTTTAGAATACTTTTTAAGTTTTAGGTTTTAGGGAGAGAGAGATTTGTCTCTTGAACCCTTGTTCTTTCTTTTTCAATTTCGGTTTCTATTCTACTTTTTAATACTATGTTTTTGATTTCGTTCATCATGTCTGAATAGTTTTATTGTTGGGATTAAGGGATTTTCGATGGGGATTTATATGTTCGGTGAGGATTCCATTGGCTATTGAGCCAAATCTTATAACTTTTTCTTCTGAATTCGTTTTTACTGCATGAGAGTAGCGTCATGAACTACAATCTAATCCAGATGCTTGGTGACACGAAAGTGTTCATCCGGTGTCAGATCTAATTTGGGAGAGCAAAACAAACATAGGAGTGGAAACATACCTATGGGCGATTTGTGAATGCTGACGAGTCTTTAACATAATGCATCTCTTCTTTTCCAGGGCCAGAGTGGAAACCTACTGGTCAGGGTTGAGAGAGATAGTTGTCTATGATCACGACAGTGTATTCATACGTCTGTGACTCCAGTTCGAAAAGTTTAAGCTAAGATCTTATCAAATTTACTCTCTAGCAATGTTTTGAATCGTTCATACCCCTGAGATAACTTCTCTGAACCCCAGCGCCTCTTTTCTTATAGATTTACACCGATTTTCATTCAAGCTTTAGTTTAGTTTATTTACTCTTTCAATCGATTTTCATTCAAGCAATTAGGTTAGCCGTTTTTCCCGTTTTCACCCGTTTTCGTTAAGTTTAGTTATTAGGTCATTTTAATTCCCATAATTTCTCTTTAAAATTCGTTTTTACGTTTTAAACACACCACCAAAACCGTCACAAAACTCGCCTGGTTCTAGACTTCCTTACTTCATATTTCTTTCGAAGGCTTTTGCAGGAAAGATCCTCCTTCCCTGTGGATTTGATCCCTAAGTACTACAATCGATCAGCTGTGCACTTGCGGCTATTGATTTCATTTAGGGTAAAACTTGACACCCTTACACCACTCCGCATCAGTTTGTTTAATTCACATACTGAAAACAAAAGAAAATCATATCTCATTCTCTTTGCATCTAGTTTAGTTCATCTCTCTAAAGTCAAAAAAATTAGTCCTAAATTATTGTGACGAGTTTCCAAGTTTGTTTGCATTAGTCTCACTTACCATATTTGTTTCAAATCCCCTCCATATTATATTTTCATCAAGGTTCTAATTATTTAGACAGAGAAACTATTTCTCTCTTCTGTAAACTAGAGTCTGTCGTTTAATAGTCAAAAAAAAAAAAATTAAACATTTTGAAATTTCTCATTCTTCTTTTGGTCAGAACTAAGCTATTTCCTTTTTCCTTGTCTTTGTTTTCGAGAAACAAAACTCATTAATCCGGCATCGGAGAACAAAGTAGTAACGCACAAGAACCCCTTCACCAGTTGATCATCTCCATGAGAGATGAGATCAAGGCTTTGAGGCAAGACTTCGGAGTTCGGCTCAGCCGTGTGGAACAAGCACCACGGGTAACTTTACAGCCGACACGCAACCTTGGAGGAGTAGAAACCGGTCTCAACACCACTCAGAACACCGGAACCAACTCAAGGCACAATGGAGTGCACATCAACAAGCCTCTCAATGCACCCCTGACCGAAGATGATTCTTCCCAAGATGATGAACCACACCCTAGACGTCAGAGAAACCGTGGCCAAAGGCGACGTGTGCCGCAAGACGACTGTGGAGACGCTGATGATGAAGAGTATACTCCTTACTCTAGACTAAACCATAACCATATCAGGTTGACCTCACCAAACTTCGCTGGCAAAGTTGATCCAGAGGAGTATCTGGATTGGGAGAAGAGGATGGACCACATCTTCAACTATTAGAACCATCCCGGCCCCAAGAGAGTTTCCCTAGCGGTTGCTCAACTCACAGACGGTGCACTTACATGGTGGGACAGAGAAGTATCAGATCGAACGAGAAGACGCTTGAGAGTTATTGATACATGGGTCGACATGAAAGACCTGATGAGGCAAAGGTATGTTCGTCCACATTTTTATAGAGACTTGCAGCGACGTTTTTGAACTCATTAACATGGAACCAGGACCGTAGAAGAATACTACGAAGAGTTTGAGCGCTTGAGGAATTGTTTGGAGCTTCATGACGACAAAGAAGCTCTAATGGCACAATTTCTTGATGGTTTGCAAGAGAGGATCAGCCGCAAAGTGGAGAGACAGGTATATCAAGACTTCAAAGATCTTTTCTATTTGTCTATACAAGCAGAACAACACATCAATGATAACTAAGGTTTTGAAGGCCTTAATAAGGGTTATCAATCCCTTAGATGTTGAAGCATAAAGGGTATCAATCCTTAAGTGTGGTTGCCAGACACTAGTTTATGTGATAAACTCTTAAGTCAAGTGATCAAATATGAGTTTTGGTGTGAACAAAGTAACAAGAAAGCATAAAACAAGAAACAAGAAAAGC